GAAAGTTTGTGGTAACAAATAGCGCGAGAAGGTGAGCGTGAGTATCGAGACTCAGAAGTAGTGATCCCTGATAATTACAAAGGATAAGTTAGTTGTTGCTGTAGTGATGGCTAATATTTTTGTCTGCCATAGCTAACAAACTTGAAGTTAAAAGTAACATACTTTTGGCTTGTGCTATTCTTTCGTACAACTTTGTTTCAAAGTCTTTCGCCTTGGTTTTCGATGGCGATGCTAGCTTCTTGATCGGCTGATAGGCAAGCGCCGGTGAGATGTCCTCAGATTTCGTCGCTCCCGATTCGATCATGCTCGCTCGTTTCTGCTGTGCCAACCGCAGCTGCGTCTCCAACTGTGACACCTACAAGGAACGAATGTTGTGGTGGCACATACGACAAAAATAGTGATATAATATGCACATCTGAGTAACCTGCAAACGTCACAAGCCAATTGGTTGAAAGCTGAATTGGACACAGAAAAACGGGGAATTCAAATGGCTGCCACGAACATTCGTGTTTTACCTTTATGAAGAAATAGCGAAGAATGCTTTTTAAGCCACTGTGATCACTGCAGCCTTTGCGGTTCGAAAAGCGGCTTCATTATCATGCGATGCTAAGTTTCGATTTTATGCTATCAGGCAGAAATGAATCATTTATTATGCTACCATTTCAGGAAATCTTGGCAGATTGCATGATAACCACGTACTCTCATGCTTCATACGGTTGTCACTGTAGCTCAGTCGATATGGAATTGAAGACACGTTACAACGACATGGTTATTCGCCTTTTCTCCTTCCATTTGGGAAAAGAAGAATATTAATGATCTTAGCACCTGTAAGGAGTGCCTGACTATGATGTTACTATCCATGGTAATTTAGCCATATTATAAGATACCATATACTCTGCTACTTTATTATATTTACTGTTTTTTCAGAGTTATACTTTGTTTTGACTATTATATTGGATAGTCAGCCATCAAGTGGGTCAAGACAAACTGAATCTACCAAGGGCGTTCGCACTGCACAGCACGGCATTCTGATACGATCACACCAGAACCCTGTTCTGTCCAGATTTTTCGCAAGTCAGTGGCTTGCTATCCGTTCCTCGGTTAGATTCGTCCTTGAATGCACCGAGGCAAGGCGGGATAAATTTCTTGTTCAAGCGAATGCCTGGTTAATACGAAGACTGGCCCATCTACATATTCGAAGCAGGCACCTCCGGAGTTCGAAATCGAAATCTATGCCACCGTTTCGTTTAATCTCATCAGCTCATCAACAGCGGCTAATCATTTTCCCATTTTTATTGAACGTGTAACTCGTAAAAGAGACATATTTTTCGTCAACATTACCCTAATACTAATTGCTCCCACGAATCGTACGACTTAAAACTTCAACAACCATGACCACCTTCCAAATACACGTTACTCACTACAGTATCGATAATCATCGAACTTCGCAGCGGTCACGTAAGTCAGCAGAAAAGTTCCTCAAGTGTACACAAGTAAGCATCAAAGCAGCACAGACGTCGGTGATACAAAGATATATTAGCGATGCACGAAAAAATCAAATAACAAATATCAGACAAATTAAACCGTAGTCGGGGTTACTGGTTACTGCCATCTAGCAAGGCTGGACAACCAATCGGTGAAGAAGGACACACGGACAATGACTGTCGCTGAATCAGCAACTCGCGAACTAATAAATTAACCATACATCAGGTTGCACTGCTTCTTTGTTACTGACCGCAACTACATGTCGTCATTAATATCTAGGCTGAAAACGGCGATGACCATCACTGATCATTTATGTCGCGCATTTACGACAACGACGACTGATAATCGAGCAGGTCAGGCAGAACTGCAGCTGCTTAGAAAGTGAGCGAAAGATATTTTGTTAAGAAATTTAGTAAACAACAACACAAATAATAGCTGAACTGCAACCTATGAACAGAATAACTAATACCACTCGAAATGCAACTTATAACCGTCTTAACAAAGCTACATAATCAAAATGTGTGCTTTAGATACGCGGTAAGGGTGCCAGAAGAAAATCTAGCAGGAGGCACTCTCATAGCTGAACAATGCGAAACACAACCAAATGTGAAAAGGCACGATGAAAAGATTTAACTATACTAACATCTGACATGGTCACTGATTTGCAATTCATTTTTAAGACTTGCACGATCAGAAAACGACCCGAACGAACTGGAAGAAGTTGACCACCAAATATGCTTTGACTATACTGTTGTAAACGACGGATGCAGCGACATGGAGAGGAAATCAAGGACTGGTTTAGCAGCAGAGGCATTTGGAAGCTTAGAGAAGATATGATGTCATCAGAACATGTAAATAATGCAAAACAAAAGATACAGATTCCTCTTCCCAATAACGATTCCGGGTTCTGCCGCAGGAAACCCGTTACTTTTAAAATACAATGGCTCTAATGCCTTTTTCTGCATGGGAACAATCGCAGGCTCTTTATTATGAGAAAAATCTATGCCTCGTCCTCCCGAAGATGCTCTTAATATAGTATATAAAACAAACCGCAACTCATGTTTTGCTATATTGCTACAGCTAGTGATAACAGGTTGAAACTAGACGGAGACAATCGAATGTGTCTATGCAAAAGCGAAAGAAAGTGTAGCCTGTGGGGAAGTGATCGAAGGTGTCGTTGAAAAACACCGGAACTGTGAACCGATCAAAGGGGAGACTAAACGAGAGGAAGTACTTCCCGCAGAACGGAAAGACGAAGGCGCTGCCAGTGCAACGACCCGATGTTCGGTCTTATCAGCATACTTTGTGCTGAAAATGATCTACAGACGTGGCCAAAGTGGATTAATCAATCCTTGAGGATGAAAGAAGGATCTATAACTGCATAAAATGACCAGTTTCGGTAGCGCAAAACGAGTAATGGGGTCGAAGGCAAAAAACTGCCCTTGGCAGCTTACTGCCTTTGTATACATTCACGTTTAGTAAAACCTTTTTGACCCGATTCCGGCCCTTTTCCTTGGCAATGCCGACCCGATGGAAATATCTGCAGAGAACACATTCAAGGTTTTTACAGTGAGGACAGTGGAACAAGTGAAAGTCGTCGCGAACAGTCACAGGGACCGCTCAGGCACTTTGAGCTGTGCCTTAAACTACAATGATGGAATTAATGCAGCCAATGTCTTCACTATCCTTACATCTGGTAAACAAAGCAGTATGCAATAGTTATGTCAATTCATCACATATATCTAACAGTTGGAATTCAATACATCGTGCGGTGTGACTGATTCATGCTAGTGCATTTTAATTTTACGCATTCTTGCATCTTTGTCTTAACATAAAAAATTTAGTTTAAACTCTACCTTACACTGGACTGTTTGACAAGCAAGACATTTCCGCTTCTGCTCACTATGTCTTCGGGTGATAGACTATGACGACGTTTTTCGAAACGCCATTTCAAAATAGAGTTTTAACCCGGCACGTTTACGTAACTGCAGCACTGTACCTCTTTCCGCTTCAGAGGCAAACATTTCAAATAGCGTTTATTATTTAACAACAATGAATGTATATGATTGCAGCATCGTGTCAGAAGTAACCTTAACTTCACTCCAATGTTTAGCAGTCGATCGATAATCGAAAAAAATGAAGCGTGCAGCACGCTTACCTTTGCGCTCAGCTGCTGTACTAAGAGGCTGTGCTGGTGATCTTTTTCGAGAAGCTGCTTCAGATGAGCTTCTTCCCTCTCCGCTAGACTCTTTTCCCTGAAATATATGAAAATTACGCAGTAGTCAAGTGCTGATCGAGCGCACCGAGTACCTTTCCTGATAGTCCTTGATCAGCATTCTCGCCTGCTCGTATTTCCGTTCTAGTTCAACGTAATGGCTATGAGAGTTTTGCAGCAGTTCCTGGTATTTTGACGTTTGGACTTTTACGTCATTTAACTCGCATTCGAGGTAGCTAATTTTCTGTTGCACGCCATCGATGCTTTCCGTACTGCTGGACGTGGACAGGAACTCAGGAACGCTTCCAAGCGTTCCCTTTTTGCCAGCAGTCAGTTTCAAGTAATCAGAACTCAGAGGTGGCGGTGGTACGTCGTACCGCTGGTACACTGGACCGAATGGACTCTCCGTGTTTAAGTGGAACGCCTAAACGAGTAACTAAAGATTCGCAAAGATTCAATAAGCAAACTCCAAAGAAGTACCACGCCGCCAGGGTCGCAACTGCTCCACTGCAAAACGGCAGGAAACGAAAGGACGGCAGTCAATAAATGACCGAGGAGTGATGACCTCATCCGCCCATTTCGACAGTAATCAGCTAATGACTAATGATTCTTCTTTTAAGCACAAAGCAACATTAATGTAGGATGGCTCGATAACAATCGTTCTTCTTAACTTCTCGATGCCTTAAAACTTAACGGTAGTCTCCGGGAGGTTCTAACTCTTCTATGGCAAGGAAATGTGCTCATAATTCAGAGTTGTTCTGCATAGATGATGGCCGCGCATACGATTTCTCACTGTTATGGATTTAGTCATGCTGGAAGCATATAAACTAGCGTGACAGGCTGTTTTAGGCACAGGGTTCAACAGTGGATCAGAATTCAGAAACAGTACCCAAGAGTGATATTGCAATTGTGAACAGTTTTCACATGAAACATATTTCCCTACTTTGGGATATTTTTTAAATCAACCGATGAACTATAATGACTTCAAATGGTCGCTTTCTTTTGTAGCAATACACACAAATTTTAGCAGTCAATCATCTTTCGAGTCACGTGGCGGAACCGTGAACCGAACAAGATTCACAATATCAGTAGACTTTAAAGCCTGGCATTCTGATATTACGCGATGTTTGTTGTGATGACGAATGAAAGATCATTCACAAACACTCAAATCCTCCATTTAATACTTCACTCAGGTGATACGCTGATTATGAATTCTTTGTTGTGGATGTTTATATAGCATTTTAGCAGCTGACAAGAAACTGGGACTTAACACACTTTCAATAAGTGATTGAAGTATGTCATTCTTCTGTTTCTGAGCATCCCTTATATAATTGTGAAACCTAATAACAGTCGTCTTCTGGGTCTAGCTGAAATTAATGAACTGACTGACTCTGAGCCAAACAGAAACTCAAGAAAATCGTCTCAAAGTAGAAGATGCTGACTGTTATACATGCGTCTGACACCTCAACCGATCAAGAGATACTTCGACAACTTGGTATTTAGGGTCTGCTACAAAACTGGCACAACTCTAAGAATATTTCTGCATAAGAAGATACTCGCTGTAACCCAAAGACGCGTTAAACAAAGTCAAATCCGGAGAATGCAAGAAGATATACCTCGAAGTCTGCACATATGTGCAATTCGCCTCGTATTAGCTGACAACTTCGATGCTATTTAACACACCGTTTTTGAGAGACACTCCTTCAGTCAGGCGGACATGCTTGCAGAGAACATTTAAAATGAGATCTTTCGGCATAGAATGCTCATTCATATTTTGGCTCACAATGAATACCCCTCTTCTATCGTAATAAGTGAAACATGGAATGCCATGAGTGACAGAGATTAAGATTTCAAAAAGAAACTTAGTTTTAAGTCTACTGTTTTAGCTGCTATACGACATGTGCTAATTTTTCATTCATATTTACATCATTGCGTTGTTTGAATAAGACGGCCTGTTGTTTGTCATATCAGCTGCACCCCGACAAGACCACGGTGTGGTGGCGAAATATGCTTGCAGTACAACTTTTACTTTCGGGTTTGTTTGGTGGCCTAAACTATGAATCAGCAAAGTAGCTACACTGGCTAACTATGGGTTAGCGCTGCAGAGTAACTCTTTCATAATTCTACCTGTCACAGTGTTGGAAAACAATTATCCAGCCTAATCAATTTTAAAACCAAAGGTTCGAATGTAACTCCGCCATGGCCGGTCCCAAGCCCGGATGAGAAAGGAGGAGGGTTGGAGACCGTGGCAAGTC